ATATTCCCATATATTCCCTATTAGCCATGGCCAGTTTCAGCTACGAATAGAGCTTGCAACCACAACCGCATGTTTTCTAATATAATCTCAAAAGGATAGATTGTCGACAGATTCGATTTGAACAATTGAATTTTATCATAAAAATAACAGCAATATCATAAAGCTGACCACAATTTCTCGAATAACAGTAATCCACCAGATTCCAGTCGATTTTCGCCACTGCATTGCCATTTCTGTTTCCACAGCAGCCACGCTGCCGCTCTCAGGATCTTTACGCCAAAGTCAATCGACGATTCCGAGCGTGCTCAGGAGCTTGGGCAGTGACGTTTGGCGCCAATAGAGAAGCATTCCACAGGATGGGGCCCCCAAGATAGCTAAATTGCATTATAAGTGGCTTAACTATGGTTTATGGTGTATATATATATATAGACGGACCCAGTTCAGTCTGAATTTATGCCCAAGTTCAGACATTCTGGCCGAGGAAAAAAACTAGATTGAGGTGATTTTACTCAAATCCACACCTTTGCAGCACCAAACAACAAAATATGTTCAATCGCAGATGTTTCATCCAGCAAAACAAAACAACAAAGCACCCATTATCGATAGATGTTTCAAACATAAAGCCTCTGGCCATCATAACTTTGAAAAGACAAACTGGCAGCATGGACGGCCTCTTGTGAAAGTCTCAAACGACCAAACTTAAATCCATTTACTTACATTACAAAGCTCACGCAACCCCTCACAGGGTTTACAGCCAAATCGTCACAGAGCCTGGTTCATCCATGAAAACAACTCTCACCAGTCAGCCAGATCAAGATCGAAAAAAAACAGTGTTTCGTTTTTTGTTCGCCCGATTAGTGTTTTTTTCGCCTGATTTCGTTTTTTTTCGCCCGGGTTGTTCATACTTCTGGAAATTTTGGCCTGAGTTTGTACTCGTAACAAAACAGGCCCTGTCCTTATCAGCATAGAACGCTATATAGCTCGTCAGCTCGTCACAGAAAAATCTAGACAACACAGCACGTCACTCCTAGGCTTCTACTGCACAAAGCGCTAAAACATGCTTCCCCTGATTTGGGAGTTGCTTTGCATCAAATGTTGTTCGCTCCGAATTGGAAGCAGTATAGTGGTTGCGCTAGACTCTAGTAGACACTCAACCTGAGGAAGGTCTTGGTCGAGGTAATTTAACATGTTTCAGCTGTGTTTGAGCCAACTTCTTTCTTAGAATCAGACTAAGTTCATCAGATTTGTGCCTGAGTTCGCTAAATCTGCCCGAACTTGTCCTCAGTCTGATTTTCTGCCCGAATTGCATTCAGTCTCATATTTGCCCTAAGTCTGAAATTGCAGCCCAAAAGATTTTCTAGGTATATATAACTATAGTGAATGGGGTCTATAAACCAACTTATAACGGGGAGCACCATCCTGTACCAAGAATTGCTATGTACCAAATTAAAAGATATATATATATATATATATATTTACTATATGTATATGTATATATATATATATGTATATATATATATATATTGTGATTGTTCAAGCAAAAGTTACTACGTGGCTAGCAGGCCATTGTCAAATAGTAAGCACAATCAGCTCAGATCAAATCTTCCACTTTTGTTGCCGCACATGCGCGCAGGCATCGCCCCTTTGCTCCGTTTATATATTCTCTTCCTGTATGTCTATCGCCGGTCACCCAGGCAATGGCCTGCATCGGAGACATTACTCTCTTTTCGGGCCGCTGGGCCGACATTGCGCTGCAGGAGGCGCGCCTGGGACAGTGCACCGACAAGTGCACCTGAATCGCTTGCCTTGCTGCATGCCAGGAACCGGTTCCTCTGGAGGCACAGCTGCTTGCTTCCTGACAGGACTACGTCCTCCAGAACCCGGCGCTCCTTCAGGAGTTGCAGGACGCGGTGGAGGCCCAGCAGTTTTGGGATAATATCCCACTGGGATGAACCGGGGAGTTGCTAACTTTGCTATAGGTTAGGGTCTAGGTTATATCATTTATAACTATTGCTAAGTGCTTAGCTAACTAGTTAGCTAAGTAGTTAGCTGGGTACTTAGCTAAGTAGTTAGCTAAGTGGTTAGGTACTTCAAAAACCAAGGCTGATTGGTTAAAAACTTAGTTTTTTAATTTATGATTCATGTTTGTGGCTGGCTGTCACTGGCATGCTTGGCTGCTGCTTCCAATCCATTTAACAACAACCCATGCCAATCTTCAATGCTTGACCTCAACCTAGAAAAAGGTATTTGCTTTGGACAATTTGAAAATATTTCAAAGAGCTGGCAGCCTGAAACATCTATATAAATACACTGCAAGCTTCATGCAGCATATGCAAGCTCAGACATGTTTCCTTTAATGGAATAGATGCATGTTTTGAATGCATACCCATTTCTACACAGGGCATGCTTGAAGCTTGCAAATACATAAGCCAAATTGGCTTGACATAGTGCAGCCAGGCTTGTTTGTTTGAAACCTTCTTCCCAATTAGACAAAAGCCCTTGGGCTTGAAGATTTGACTACAAAACAAAAACCACCTGTGGTATATGGTGTCAACAGGACTGGCAGTGGCTGCAGCTTCACTCTTGCAAGACCCATGCATTTTCCTCTCTCAAGTTGAAGGTCTCAGCATTTATTTGTCCTGATACACCTCTGCTCAAGGGTTGCAGTGGTGCAAGAAAAGAAGGTGATGTATCACAAATTACTTGGCATTTTTCAAATGCTTCTTGTACAAACCTTCTTGGTTCCCTTCAAAAGCTTGGCCTTGAATTTTGTCTTTTCCATCTTGCAAACTCTGAGGGCATACCTGGCATTACAGTAGAGGATGGCATCATGTCTTGTCCAGCTTCTTCTCCAATAGGATGAGACCCATACTCTTTCAAAGAGTGCCAAGGTAATTGGATCCTGCCATTGCTCCACATACACTGAAGGCATGTTGGGTATACAGAAGCAAGAAGGCTGCAGGTGATCCTCTGGGCCAAAAACTTGCATATAGTGGAAGTTGGAACATACCCTTATAGAGAGGAATTCATGCTTGTAACTCAGCACGAACATTTTGTCTTGTTGGTTGAAGCTTGCATAAGCCTTGTTGGCTTGAGACATGTATGTATAGTGGTTTGAAAGTTGCAAAGATGTTTGCCATGGGCATGCCAAGAACTTGTGTTGCATATGGTCTAAGGGCCTATGACCTTGCTTTGCCCATAAGCCCACAGGGCTTGAACATGAAGCCCACAGGGCTTGTGCATGAAGCATGGAGGCTTCAAAATGTCTAACTCAATGTGCAACTCATTGCCAGGCTGAATTAAATGCTTTAGAGCTTACCTACAGCTTTTTGGCCCAGTACAACCCAAGGCACTAGATGCAGCATCTTTCTTTTTCAGTGAAACAGCAGCCAGCATTTCAGAAACCTTTGCTGCCATTTACATTACCTCCATTGGAAAGGAATGATAACTTTGTACAAGTTGTTCTTGAAATTCATAAAAGAAGTAGTGGTGGCAATGGTGTGTGTTTCCACAAACATTGCATCATCTTTCTTCTTGCACAGAGCATGGCATCCACATTCATCAATTTCCAGAATATCCCACATGGACACCATAGACAAAATTGTGGAATCCAGCTTGACATGTAACCACACCTGGCAAAATTTCAAAGGTTTGCCTTTGAAGACACAAATATCACCTTTGCTGCAAATTCCTGCAGGTGACGTATGTGCTTGTAAGCAGCTGAAAATTTCCACATCTTGTGTACAATTCAAGTGCTTTTGCAAAAAACAAAGCAATTTCTTGCTGGGCTTTCCCTCTTTCACTAGCCTAGCAGATTCACTAAATGCATCAGGGTCTTGCAGCTTCTCCATATCATGGCAAAGAATTTCAGATGTGACAGACTTCTCAAAGGTTTTCAGGTTCTGGATGGAGGATGCATATCCTCAGTATCTAAATCTTGAGGGTTGCACAGGGCTCATCAGCATGCAAGAAGCAACAATAAAAAAGAAATGTGGGAATGCAAAGCCATCAAAACAATTACCAAGTGTCTCTTGATGGTTTTATGTTTGCGTTCTTGAACAAAGCAAGATGGCAACATCTTGTGCTTGGACAGGTGATGTCCAAAATGTAAGCTCCAGTGAAACTTGGTATGCATGTATGGCTTCCAACCAGCTGTGATGCATAGGTTAATGAAGTTTTGCAAAGATCTCTCAAGCACATGGTGTGTGATAATGCCCAAAGGCACCAATTGGATCAGGTCCAAAATGTCCACCAATGCGAAGTAGGCAAAGCATTCATCTTTGCACAAACCTTTTGGCACTATAATGGTTTGCAGGAAGTATGCAAAAATTGGTGCAAGTCCCAAAGCTTCACTGGCAGTGCATTTGAAGGTGCCTGCCAGTTTGTTGGCTTTCTTCCTTTTTGGTTCAAACAGTTTCCCCAAATTGTCATGCCTGACTGCAGGCAGGTTCCAAGCACCAACAACTTGACTGGCCACATCATAGACATTTCCAGAAAAATTTGCTTCCAAAGCTGTCATAATCAAATGCATAACAGTTTGGAAGATCCCAGATACCAGAAAACAGTGCATCCAATCATGGAGAAATTGGCTGATAGGGTGGACATGGCCCTTCAGTGACTCCCAGTGCAGCAGTGCATACTTGTTGTAATTCATTCCCACTGCTTGCTGCCAAAGTTGAAACTCATTGGCTTTGAGTTCCACATGTTTCTGCTCCAATCTTGTGGCAGTTGCATGAACATCATCATTGCTTGCTTGTTGAACTTGGGAAATGTCCCAACTTTGGGCAATGAGCAGATGCTCATTGGACTCATCAACAATGTTGCTTTTCTCAGTCAGTAAATTCAAACAAAATACACAGAATTTACTAGCTGCATCACCCTTCAACCCCCAAACAGCTTTGTGTGCTGCCCCATCTTGGAGCATCATACCCAATCTGAACCAAAGTTTAATGCTTCCACCTGACCTATCTTTCAGCATCAATCCCCCAATATCAGGGGAACAAGAGGGGTGGTGGAATATGTGATCCAAAAGTGCTGCTGTCACTTGGGACATGCCTGCTTCCATCTCCATGACATGTGAAGACCTTTTGGCAAAAGCAACCAGCCATGCCTCCTCCTTAGATAAGGCAATTGCACCAAATTGCTTGAAGCTGAGATAAGCTGTTTGAATTTTTCTGCTTGTCTCTGCAGAAAGGGGGTTGCCTGGCACAATTTCATCAGTGTAATATATGAGGTCCCAAGGGTTATTGTGACTGCATGGATGTTTTTCCAAACTTGTATTGACCAGTGCAGTGAAACCACCATTTTGC